TTTCTTTTACTCAACAATAACGAACCCTTATCTCGCTAAATGAAATCAATTATATATATCAACTTTCCCTATAATATGCTATCTAGAACCATGCTTCTATCTAAATAGATAATCTCGATATCTTTTTTAATAATTGTTTCACTTCTATTCATTCAATTTACTCTCTTTATCACATAATTTATATGTCTTCTCTTTACATGTTCAAACCACCTAAATCTTTTTCAATAACTTATTTGTCAATTTAAGACTTATGTTTTAATTTAAAATGAGCATATTAATGCAATAACATCCAAAATTATGTCATTAAGATCCAACAACATATTACATAGAACTATACTAAGTTAATAATATGTGTTACAACAACTTCCATCCATAATGTGTCTATCGATGTTTGCATGTTATTCACAACTTATTGCTTGCATTTGAACCAACATTTTTGTTAATGTGAAATCGACAAAGCAAATTAATTTTTCTTAGAAACACAACTCCAATTGTTTTCACCAAATCGAGATCTATATCATGCAATATCACATGCGAACACAACTCTTCCTTAGCAAACAATTGGTTCAGTTTATTCAACACTCAACAAAAGTTATTTATCTGCTCAAATTCCATATACGCAAATGCAAACGTCAACTTAGTTGACGTCATGCCAAATATTTTAAATAGAGGTTCTTCATAACTAACACAAGATGAAAAATATCAACAACTTGATTAAATTTGGATGTGCCCAAAAAATATCTCTCACAACATCCGAGTCATCTCTTCTTCTAATCCAGTAAACATAACATGCATCATCTTTCAGCTTAAGCAAATGTTGTATCTCTGTTCTAGGACCTCTTATCTCATTTTGTAACTTACTCTTATGTTTACATATTTGCGTGATCCAACTGACATTTTTCGGATCTCGCTCTTGCAAGGATAACAATATGTGTATGGGTAGAACATGACGCTTTGTCAAATGAATAACATGTTGTTGTTCATCTGCGCTTGTCTGGTCAACAAACAAATGACCTTCTAAACTATAAGGTAAACCTTGGTTATAAAATCCACATTTTACATTAACCTCATATTCAAAACCATCTTTCGACGGTGTCTATCATCTTCTCTCCTATTGGTGTGATATTTTTATTTATAATCCTATCATTTTTAGTTTTATCACACATCCAATGCAATGTCCTCATATTTGTTACACTTACTTTATTTTCGTGTTGATTCTTAGACACCCAACACTTTGTTCTGTACAATATCGCATATTTTACCGCGGTCAAACAAATATTTTCCTTCAGCTTTAGTGGTACCTTTGCTTCACATAAAACTCCTTAATTCTTCCTCCATTTCATCCACTCAGCTTGAATTCGATAATTTGCATCTCTTTCTATTTCTCAATTATTTTGTATTATATACCCAAGATATTTAAACCGTGTGAGTTGAGGGATGATATGGTCACCAACTTTCACCTCTAGCTTAGAAATGTTTCTTCTTTTATTGAACATACATTCCATTTACTTCGTCTTACTTATGCTTAGAAGAAAACCATGTGTTTCTAGAACTCGTCTCCAAGTTTCCAACCTCTCATTTAAATCACCCTTGGACACTCCAAGTAGGACTATATCATTTGCAAAAAGCATGAATCTCGATGTGTTCCATGAGTACATCCAAAATTAAGGTAAAAATGTATGGATTTAGGGTTGAAACTTGATGCAAACCTATTATAATGAGGAGATTGTCGGCCTCTCCACCTTGTTTCCATACACTAGTCGATACCCCTTCATATATATTTTGGATAATTTAAATATATGCAATCTTAATCTCTTTCTTCTCTAAAAAATTTCACAAAATCTCTTTTCGCACTCTATCATACACCTTTTCCACAATAAAAACTAAGAGCAAGTCTTTGTTGTATATTCGACACTGTTTCATCACACGTCGTAGTAGATAGATCGCTTTCATGGTCGACCTCTCAAACATAAAATTTACTAATTTAGATTATAATTTTTAAATTTGCTCTTATTTTTCAACAAAATTAATCTAAAACACATAATATATTTTGTTTTAGGAAAAAAATCATTATTTAAAGTTTAACTTCAGATACAATTTTTTGGAGAAATATATAAATTTAACTTCTTTGATCAATTTAGATTTTATTATTTACATTAGAGATTTTCTATGAGCAGATATTGTTTACTCTTAAAACAATATTGTTTAAAGTGTTCGACCTATATTATTATTTGTGAGACAGATAAGACATTTATGAGTGAGCATGTTATAGATCAAACCAACTTTTATGTATTAATTTTTTATTTTGTTAAAAAAATGGGAATAAAATTCTACAAAATTACCTTTTATTTTATAAATAAAATAGAAATTTATTAATTATTGTTGTGAAAGTTGAAATTTATTACTTATTGTTGTGAAAGTTAACATAGGCCACATTAGTCCCATAAACACATATGCAATTATCTCATTAGATAGCTAATTTTGTCAAAGAAATCACTTTATCCACCCCATGGGGTGGTAGTTTACCATAGTAAAAAATCTCAAAAGCTTTTAGATTTTGGGGATACATCTCTGAATGTACACATGTTACGCATCCATAATGCTTTCCTAAATGAGCCATTTCATTTTGTCCAATAATTTGTTTAAATATGTATCTCTGAGTTATCCTTAAGTTGGATAAATTAGCTCAATTAATTAAAAATACCATCAACGACATTTATTGGTGATTTCATAGATGCATCTCCGAATCATGTCAAAACGAGGTGTGACTCATTTGCAACCTTTTTGTGTTCGAAAATGCATCCTAAAAATATAAAAATGGAAAATTGAATTTTACTGTGTTCTCCTCATTCTATGGAGTGGATAAAAAAATATCATTTGTCAAACTATAAACCTTATAAAAAAAATATCATTTGTCAAAATATCATTTATATGTTATCCTTTTTTCTCTTATGTCCTAGTAATAGTTATGTTTTTGAAGATTTAATATACAAATTTCATAACCATATCTTTTTAAGGTTATGTATCAACTCACACATATTAATGAAATCACAAAAGGACAAAAAAAAAATCCTCTAACCCATATGGCACTTTCCCATATTATTTATTTATTAATCAAACAAAATCGCTAATAAAAAAATCAACTTACATCCATCTACTCTCGTTTTCAATATCTCCTTTATTGCCCTTAAATAAATCCCACAATTCTATTTATAAATTAATCATTCATTAAATTAAAAAAAATATTTTATTATTTTGTTTTAAGTTTCTTTTTATCAATTTGTTATATTATTTTAAAAAATTTAACTGTATTATTGTTACTCTATTGTTATATGATTTTGTTTCTTATCAATTTTTTTTTCTTTTTAAGTGTATTATTGATTTTTTCTTTCTATTTTATCACTTAATTTAAATGTTCTTTTTTCTTTTCGAGTATTTCTATTTTCCTCCTGATACTTTTTCTTTCTTTTTAAGTGTATATTTTAAAAAACAATTAAGAAGTATACATATTTTTTAATAAAAAAAGTACTGAGAATTTAAAGTATTAAACCATAGATTTTTGCTATCATAATAAAAATATAACATGCAACGGTAGACAACCTTAAAACACATCCCGAAGTTTGATCCGTAAAAAAAAACGTTGGAGGGAGGTGGTGTTAGATCATTACCAGCATCGTAACATTTGAACACGAGTGGATGCAACATTTTCCCCCAAATTGTGAAACCCTAAAACCTATTTTTACCCAAAACCTATTTTTTTCCCCCAAATTGTGAAATTCTGAAAGTCTAAAATGAGATGGTGAAGAAACTAAGATCGTGAAAGGAATGAAATTTTGGGTTGGGGTTTGAAATTGATGAATTGGGAACGAGGTCGATCGATCGTGAAAGGATTGAAATTTTGGGAGGAGGAAGAAAATTAGGATTAGGGTTTGAAATTAATGAATTGGTACGAGGTCGAATGAGATGGTGAAGAAACTAAGATCGTGAAAGGAGTGAACTTTTAGGAAGAAGAAGAAAAATTAGGGTTAGGAATTGAAATTGGGGAATTGGGTATGAGGTGGAATGTCATGGAGAAGAATGCAGAAACAAATAGGTAAAGGGTGAGTGGTTTTTGGTAAAGCTGTTGTCAATAAAGAGATTTTTCTGAATGTCATGGAGAAGAATGTTAATGCGGCTCACCAAACCTTCCAACGCCTTGTATTTTATATTACCGTTAAATATCATCTTTCTTCAAACAATTATTACAAAATATCTTTTTAATTTATAATTTCTTTCTACATTTAATCAATCATCCAAACAAAATCATATCAATTATATTTATGACTCATATTCTTTTTTCAAATTATATTCGATTTTGATTCTCTCAATCTTAAATCTTACCTATTTAATTAATTCAATAGTAAAACAATAAAAACTCTACAAACAATTACAAAAACTTATTTGTGCAAAATATTTCTACAATTAATTATACTATCCATCATTCCCAAATTATAGATCAATTTGGACATTTCACACAAATTTTATTTGAAAAATATATATTATTAAATATAAAAATATATCTTGGCATGCTTTTTATAACAACAATGTTTTTAAATTTGTGTGAATTGCCTCAAAAAAATTTATATTTTTTTAGATAAAGAAAGTAATATTCTTAATTGTTGATTTTATTTTTAAAAATATTGTTTTTTTAAATTATTTATATATTGATTTTTTTTTATAAATTAGAATATTTAATTGTTGATTATGTTAAAAAAATATCATAGAAGATTAATAATTAAATAAATAGGTAAAGGGTGAGTTTTTTTTCCTTCACTTATAAATAAAGAGATTTTTGATGGAGGTCCATCTTAAATATTTTAAGTTAAAAATTAACAAAAACGTACAAAATTGACATATTAGAAATAGAATTAAAGGATTCTAATTAATTATAAGACTACAATTAAAATAATAATTAATTATGAATTAAATTAAATTTTTGTCTAACTTAAAATATAGAACACTCAATAAAGAATATCTTTTTTATAGACTAACATATGAGTACGAGATTCTTTCTCACCCAATACATCTTTTATGTCTTTGTTAAGATCAATGTTGAGAAATTGATCTTCATGTTTGTAAAGTAAATCTCCATTCTTACTTGCTCCAATAGGATAATACATGTTTGAAGAAGGTATAAAATCAAATAATTTAGTCCATGATTCCTTGACGCCGAGTTCAATCAAAATTGCAATTGAGACGCGGACCTCAATAGCATAGCTTGAGATCATAGCAACATGTCCATTTAACAATATCAAGTATCTCTCCGAACAATCTAAATCTTGCATATTTTTGGGTAAGAGAGTGGTAACATGTGTTTCTGTGTTAAAATAAAATGATACCACATATGTTTCATCCCTAGTATACCTGCACCAATGACACACACTAATGAAAGATAGCGGATCCCACATCCCTCTGCGTGTTGGCATATCATCAAGGTAAAGTCTCTTCCAAGATTTATTTTTAAGACTATATATTTCCCGTAAAGAATAAGGCAGTCTGTCTTTCCAATAACCTCTCCCTTTAACATATTGAATGATCTTGTAGTCATCTTTAATTTGGTCATAACCAAATCCATGAATAATAGTGTTGATGTGAAATTCTTTATAACATCTAAATTCTTCATGCATACCAGAACCTTCCTTCCTTATTCAGCTAATGAGTATGGAAATTGTTTTTGACTGGGCCAAGACCTGCTCTACAATCGGGCAGGCTCAATCCAATACTATGTAGAAAGACCCAACGATGCCCAATTCTCCCCAGGTCGGGCACACTTGATTCTTTTGTCGATGAGACCACTACTTAACACGAGGAGAGCTCACACGTTTTCTCCACGTTCTCCATGTGTTCCCTGATCGCGACTTTCTATGTCTAATACAACCTAACTGCAAGTGCACAGTCTATCGCGTAGTAATAATAGATATCGATCCCACAGGGACTCGTAATCAAACTAGTGTTCTCGGGAGTTACTATGTTTAGCTAGGTAGAATATGTTTAAGGGAATAAGATTGTCACTAAAAGGGAACTAAGAATACTATTTAGATTATAAATGATTGAATCGATACGTAGTAATTGTGTTCTTCAGGGATTTGATAAGTTACTGGTGTATGAAATAATTTTCAAAGTTTATTTAAGCAGAAAATGGAGATTTGAAGACTCTCGCCTCACGATGGTTATTGACGCTAATCATAATCCTAAGGGCCAAACGTACACTTTCGTATCCCGTTCGGGGTTAAAATTATTTTTTGGAAATCTCTAAGTTCTAATTCATTTTAAAGTGCTTTCGCTGTTATTAAAATGAATGACTAGTGTTTACTATCTGACCTTACCGCAGCTTTCGCTTGTTGGTTCGTATCTTAATTAATTTCCCACTTTCGTGGCAAAACTACTTTTAAATAAGTTCTCGCTTTCGCGACGAAGTTTATTCAGTGAATCAATTTTAAACACTCAGACCATAAATTACTTTTTTGAAAAGAAAGTTTTTCAACCAGTTGTTATCAAATCCCATTCAAATTATTACCACATATCGATTACCTAAGTTTAGCTAGACATGGATTTGGGAAAGATAAAACATAAATAAAAACAATAAATAATGATTTGCATTATAATAAAACTGGAATCGATTGAAATGAGAAACCTGTAAATATTCCAATTGGCCTTTGGGCAGATCCTCCACAGATGTTGGCAGGATTCTGATCTCTATGTCAATTTGATCGTACAGTGAAAGTAGAAATTACAGAAGAATGAAAAATGGAATACAGGAAAGGTAAAGAGAAACAAATAAGAATATTGCTGGAAAATATGCTCTGGAAATAAATTCGGCAGCACTTCGTTGTATGAATGCGGCACCCTTTCTGAGGTCTCTTTCTTCCCTTTTTATAGAAGTGGAATTCCAACGGTTATCATTGAAGATGATGGACTTTGAGGCAGATAATTTAGGGAGTCATGGTCCACTCTGTGGGAATTGGAACTGGTTCTTTAACGTGTAATTGAAGTGGGGCGTTTTTGCCTGCATGACGGTCGTCACAAGGTGTGACGGTCGTCACCCGTGTGACGCTCGTCATGTAGCTGTGACGGTCGTCACATCAGCAAGAACAACTTCCTGCGCTTTTCATTGTGTTTTCACTCCTTTTTCGTCCATAATTCATTTGAGATTGCTTCTTTTCTTCATGTCACCTTGTTTAGACGTGATCGTTGAATACCTGCAAAACATCAGACAAATAACACGGAAATAACCCGAAATCGGATCGAAAACGGTTAGACTTTAGTTGAATTATGCATCAAAATATATATACGATTTCGTGTTATCAAACTACCCTAAGCTTGAATTTTTGCTTGTCCTCAAGTAAAACATGAAAAAGTCGGCAAGCACGAGGCATCTTCTTCGTTCGCAGAGTAGGGAAAACCTGGGATTCTTGGTAGGAACAAGACGAGTATCATGACGACACTAGACTACAAGTCTTCGGAGGTCTCCTTTTTATGCAAATCGGTCCCAGTCATGCTACTGTAGCTTGGTGTCAAGGTTCTCGCGGCAAGTTCACCCTGTTTGTTCTAGCGCAATCACATTAAGCCCGTTGTCCATACACTTTCATGGCAAGTCGACCTGTTACTGAATATGATCTCATTTCTTGTTTTTGATCTTCTTCATTGATCATAAGCTTATGTCATTAATTTTTCAATGAGTTTTCGTGCTGTTGGGCTAAATGCTCGGGTGAGGAGCACCTAACTTAGAAGGAAACGTGTCTTATATTTTTGGGCTATTTAGCTCTCTTTTCATGATTCTTCATCTTTTTGGAGATCATACACTTATTTGCATCGGTCACTCGCTTAGAAGTGTTTTTAGGATGGTGCTGACTGCTAGTATAAACTACTTGGGGTTGAGTTTGCGTAGACACTTGAGACTTTGGTACGCGTAGGTAGTGAAACCGACTCGCATAAACCGGAGATCTAAGGTGTCAGGACGGTACTGGTTTTGTTAGAACTGTCGTTTCCTCGAAGTTTCAAAACTTGGTTTGAACTCGGTTGCATTCTCGTGATGCTTTTGCTTTTGAGGAACGAACTAAAATTTTTGTTTACGTTGAATAATGTGGGTATGTTTGTGTAACGGGAAAAGTATATATAAACGAGCTTTATTTGCTAAAAATAGAAAGTGTTTAAATAGAAATTACGAAAGTTCAAAGTGCAGTGGAATGGAAATAAAGGAAATTCAGAGTACAGTGGAATGGAAATAAAGGCTCCGCTCCCACACTATCTCAATCAGTGTCCTCACTGATTTTTGAAGCATGCGAGAGGGAGGTACAACTGAAATGAAAGTACAAATAACTGAAATATAGTAAACAATGAAGGAAAAATGGAAAATCTAGTCACGGCCTCTGTCACGTCCGCGCTGGCGTCCTCTGGCTCTGGCAAGGGCTACTCTGTCCTCATAACTCATAGCTCCGGTGTGTTAGACGGTGTCTCGGAGTCCTTCGACCTGCAAAGTCAGATTCGCCAGGTTCTCAGTGATAGTAGCTTGTCCGGTTTGAAGTTGTTGCATTTGAGTCCGGTGCCAAGCTTCGAACTGGTCAGCTCGCTGATTCTGCTGCTGCAGCATCGCGAGTATCTGTGCCTGCTGGTCTAGGGAGCGGCGGAGGTCCTCATCTGTGTAGTCTGGCACGGGATGATGGCGGCGGCGGCGAGAGGATGCACCTTCTGGAGGAGGAGGTTGCGATGCCTCTGGATGCTCGAACCTGTCCAACTCAGCTTGGATTTCATCGTCAGAACCGTGAGTGTGATCCTGAGTAGGAACAGCGGCAGCAGGAGGGGCAGTGAGGTCGAACAACCAGTTGGTACGGTCCTCTGGGTGTGTGCGGGTGCGGGATGGAAGGATGATGCTTCGGACGGTCTTGCCACGCACTACCGGATGGTATTTACCGTCAGCTCTGGAGCGGATAAGATGAGAGGCTCTGCAGTGGTTGGTGTCAAGGAACACCGAGGGGATGGACTGGAGGTGCTGGAGGCGGTCGCCAAGGTTCAGCCCAAGTGCAATAGCAGTGACAATCCCGCCAAAGTAGAATGGCTTCGAGCCACGGTTGCAATTGGCCTGAATATGAGCCAGCAGAAACGGAGCAGCGTTGACAGGCTCATTGTTGAAGACGCAATGGAGAAAGAAGAGCTCTTTCGAGTTCACTTTGTGGTTGCTGTCTCTGGAGAAAATAATGTTGCTCAACGCTCTGTGAAAGTACTGGATGGTTGGGTTATGGATATGAGTGGCGTGCAGGGAGTCCCAACCATCGACATTGATGTCGGTCAACTGATACCACAGCGCGAAAGCTTCGTGCTGGAACTGATCGGTGATGCGGCGGTGAGCGTTGTCGCCTCGAGGTAGCTGTAGGATGCTGGCAATCTGATTTTGGTTCACCTGATAGTTGACGCCAAACATCCGGAAGCATACGGCACCTGAGTGCTGGTTAAGTTCGCCGCTGCTTGTGACGTAAGTGAACGAACTCAAGAACTCAAGAGTGAGTTGTTCGTATGTTGGCAGTGGGTTGGTGCAGAGGTTCCAGATGCCTCCTCTTTGAAGCATCCAGGTTACGCCTTCAAGGAGTCCGAGCTCCGTAAGCGATGGAAGGTGTGGATAATGAGTCGGCTGGAGCGACCTCTGATGAAATGCAATGTAGTTTGCTCGTTGTCTTTCGCCTAAGTCTTCTTCACTGAAGGTAATGTTGCTGATATCTGGGGTTTCTGCATTCCTTGCCATTGTTGGAAGATGGAGAGGTTTCTGAAGATTGGGGTTTTTCTGCAGAGTGGGAAGAACTGACAGAAGTGTTGTTTGGAGGTTGAGATTGAAGTTGAAATATAGAGTTCAATGTGGGGAGGACAAAAATTTGTAGTGGGGTAGAAGTTAGGATGATTGGAAGTGGTAATGGGGGTAGTGGAAGAGAACACGAACCCTGTTTTATCAGATATCAGTTTTTGAATTCGTGACGGTCGTCACGTAGGTGTGACGGTCGTCACCCGCGTGACGCTCGTCAGGATCCTGTGACGATCGTCACAGCAGCAAAATCTGCAGAACGCAGAATTTTGCTCTGAGGGCGTACTCGTAGTGACTTTAAGGCTTAGTAATGATACGGCAGTGTAGTATAACAGCCAACAAACAACGAATAATGAGAAAACAGAATAATTGAATAAAAACTAGAATTGAAATAACATAAAATTGAAATGATTGTATGTAGTACATAAAGAAAACTAACAATGCGAAAAATCCAAATGATTAAATGAAAATAAACTAGACTAAACTAAACTGAAACTACTGCTAAGAACTAGTAACTAATCTTTTCGTGTCTTCAACTCATCGAACTTCCGTGCGTAGTAGTCGAGTTGGTCGTAGACTAAATCCATGAAGCCTACCAGTTCGCTGTGCATGCTTGCGATGTCAGCTTTTACATTAGTCAGAGCTGCATCAACGTCGTCCAATCTGAGTAAAACGGTATCCATTTTGTCGGTGGTCTCCTCAGGGATAGGCTCAGGATAAGTGTTGTAGTGTGGAGGAGTCGTAGGGTCTACTTCAGCTTCGGATACAGCATCCTCATAGTACATATAGTCGTGTGCCTCAGAGATGTGGTCGCTGTCATACATATAGTTCTGTGGT